GAGGAGGAGGAGGGAGGCAGCAGCAGCATGATGACTGAGATCTGGGGAGCATTTAAACCACAGTGCTTAGGGAAGGCCGCCTCTCAGTGGCGATTTCTGGGCTGAAACAGAATATGCAGCCAGGCTCCCAAGTCTGGAAAGTTCCTTCGAAGAAGAGCGAAGAGTAGCTGCGAAGGCCCTGAGGAAGAGCAAGTCATGATGTAAGGGCGGCAGGAGGGAAGGGGATCTTCCTGCAAGAGGAGCTGATTGGAGAGGGTGGGTAGGCAGGCACCGGCCTGACAGCAGAAGGTGCCGGTCATCTGCCTTCTCCCCCTCCCTCTAACAGACCTCCTTGCCTACAAGGCCTCCATGCAGCTCAGTGCAGGTCAGTGCCTTAAGACACCACTTTCTGGGGCCCGGCGTAATGGTCAGTGGACTCACATAGTCGGCCACAGTTCAAGTCCCAGAATACATTGAATATGATGAATTCCTCTATTTTTTTCTTCATCTGACAAATATTTGCCTTGTGTCCATATGCACCCAAACACACCAAGATTAGATAGGAGGATCCTCCTCCTCCCCAGGGACCTCTCTCCAGCAGGCAGCTCTTCAGCCCGGCATACTGTCTGCCCTCTCCTGCCTGGGCCTGGTTCAGGCAAAGCACTTTTCTGACTTAGGAGAAGGTAAGGAGCATGCCCGCTTTGGTCAGGCAGAACTGTCACTGCCTACTTCCACAGCTCCTGCCCGCCTGCCGCCTACGTGTGTGCACGTGTGCGTGTGCACACACGCCATCCCACATTCACTCCCTGCCAAGACCATCCGGTCTCCACTGGGCCACCCAGTCAGTGTCCTGTCGTTTGCTGCCCCCTAGTGACAGTCAACTGCAAGGATTGTGCTTGCAAGATTTTTTTCCCCACTCATTTTTCTGTCTTTGCTTTACTTTTGATATGAATATGGTAAGATTAAGTCGTATTCAAAAATATCAACAAGTACCTGGAACCAGGAGCATTATACTGGATATAACTGCACCGGCACACTCATAGCCCCGTGCTTGACAGTCCAGCATTACCATTCAGTGGCATAAGGACTCGGTTTGTAAAGGAACCACCCACCTTGTATCTACTTACAGCCTCTTTTCACAACACATGCACGCACATCTCCAGGATGAAAATGTATTTTAGTGCCAAGGCTAGGTCTAACCTTCCTGAGATCACCCAGTATGCTTTGCCCTGGCTGTTCACCTGTGACAATGGCACCACAGACCCTCCTCTTCCTTCTACAATTCAGCTTACCAAATGCCCCAGGTGGTCCCTCTCTGTCCTGTGGGCCTAGGCCTCTCACCCCCAGTCTGTGCAAGCCTCAGGGACACCAGCGGACTCACTGCTCTTACCACCTGCTCATGACCTCCTTCGCCTCTCACCCCCGACCCAGAGCCCTACAGGGCAGCCCTACAGAGCTCTGGCGGAGGGCTGTGTCCACAGAGCACAGACCTGTAGTGTCTGGTAAATGAGTCAGTGTGGTGGGCAGGGGAGGGCCCTGTCCACCCTGAGACAGAGGCTGCAGAGGATGTAACCGACATTGCAGAGGGAAGTTCTGATCACAGCAACCAGGAAAGGCATCACAATGGAGCCCGAGACAAGCAGGACAGGTGAAGGGTGGAGACCGAGACAAGCAGGACAGGTGAAGGACATCCCAAACTTTTTCCCGAGACAGTCTGTAAGCACGTGAGAGAGAAAGCGCCCTCTTCAAGGTCTGGTCACACCGAGTCCTTTTCCCTGTCCTTCAACTTCTCAGCATCTTGGGTGTCCACATGCACCTGCATGTTTTCAGGCTGATAAGGGGCTGATGGGTGGGGTGGGGTCCTAAACCTATGGCTTCCTGCACTGTGGTTCAATATGCCACAGACCGCACCACCCAGGCCAGGCCCAGGCTGGGCTTTGTCTTCACAGCATTTACAACAGCTGGTCATTCCCTCGCTGTGTGGCTGCTTCGTTGCCAAATCTCCCACTGGAAGAGGTAAAAGGCAGTGTGCCTGGACCTGGAACCCCGGACCCATGACCTGGGAGGGAGGAAAGGCAGTGGGGCAGGGAACCAGAGCCCAAGGGAGGCCAAAAATGACAGGAGACTGATGGAGCAGCAAGGAAGTGTGAAACAGGGTCTCGAGGCCTGCTGTGATCTGGAGTGAACTTATGCTCCAAGTCAGAAAGACCTGCTCTAATCTAAGAGCTGTGCAAGTGTGAACGAGCCCACCGAGATCTGAGGGACGAGAAGCTCCTTCAGGCCAGACGCCAAGTGGCGGACACCACAGTCCCAGCCTCACTCCTGTTCTTTGCCCCCTGCTCTGGAAGCAGAAGCACACTTCCCAACATGATCTCAGAGCTCATCTGGTCTTCCTCTCCTCTTCTAAATATAAAAGCAGACCCGGAAAGCTGGAGAGAAGCATATGGCGTGAAGGGGTGGGAGTGCAGGCTGACACCAGCTCACACACGCGTGCTCACGCTGCGAGGCACTTTTACAAGTGCTGTATATGTGTCAGCATATTTCTCGTTTCAACCTCCCTCTCCCAAAATAGTCATATTGAAGTCCTAATTCCCAGCACGTGTGAATGTGATCTTATGGTCATAAGAGCTTTGCAGATTTAATCAAGGCAAGATGTGGTCACTAGGGTGAGCCTTAATCCAATACGGCTGGCATCCTTGTAAAAGAGCAATTGGGGACTGGCAGATGGCGTAATGATTACGTTGCTGGACTCCCACATGATTGATGGCAGTTCGAGTCCTGGATCCTGTGGCTTAAAGCTCACGCCAGGTACATGTGCGTGTGTGCCCCAAATCCCAAGCATGGAGAACAGACTGCAGAGTGGCTACCCCCTGGGGGGTGATTTCTCACTTTCTCTCTGGTGAGCACATGCACCCCAAAGCAAAAATCTCTCTTTAAAAAAAAGGGCAGTCTAGATACAGGGAGAAGATGTGGTAAAGACATACACAAAGGGCCCTGTGAAGGAGCAAGGATAGATGAAGGACAGGTAGCCACATAAAGACAGTGTGTTGTCACAAATGCCTGGGGCCACCAGAGGTTAGAAACAAGTCTTCTGCTCCAGGTTGCCCAGGGAGCAAAGCCCCGCCCACACCCACTTTGGACTGGCAGCCTTCAGGACGAGAGGCTAAACCTGTCGTGTCAGGCCTCCTGGTTGTGCAGTGTTCCAGTGGCCCCAGGACTAAAACGCAGCCCTGTCATGGTGCACAATTCTCTCAGTGAACGGTGAACTGGGCACAAGGTTGCTGTTGGCAAGTGGCGCAGCTGGAACCGAAACTTAGGTGGTAGGACTCCTGACTCTAGACTTGTACCCGCTAATTCTAATTCTACCGTTGGAGGATTGGATTTACATCTTACACTCCGCGCTGGTGACGAGAGAAGTAACAGGACACTCATCCTCTCTGAGCTAGTCCCCTGCTCTATGAAGCAGGAGCGACACCTGAACCAGAAGGCAGGGGAGACTCACGCAGGCATTACGCTGAGGCGTGCAGCACGGGCTCAGCAGAGGGGACGAGGGACAGCTGGCTGCTGTCCTAGGCCAGGGCACAGTGCAGGCAGCTGACAAAGAGCTCCATGGCTCTTCTCTGACCCCAGTCTGCATCCTCGCCCTCTTTACCTTGAAACTTTAAGCTGACTGCAATGGAACAGTGAAGCATCTACACCAAACTAACCGTTTAGTTCACTCTTGATTTAAAACAAGAAGATCCTCCCTCCAATCAAACACCTCCTCAAAATCCCCTACCTAAATGAAGTTGCTTTCTCACATCTCTACATCTTCATTAAAGTAAAGACTTCCCATACTATTGGGGTGATATTTTTCTACGAAAAAAATGTGTCATGACTTTTCCGACAACCCAGTACTGTCTGACTAACTAAAGGGTTATGACCATTGTTTAACTGTGCATGTTTACAGCCAAAGGACTGCAGTCTTTCACCCCCTTCTCCTTGCCATGCATCTCTTCCACTAACAAAATATAAAAGGAAGGAAGTGCGAGGTAAAATTCCTTTCTTACATCTGTTAGGAAACAGGTCTCCCAAGAGCACGATTTCATGTCATATACAAATAAGATTTGAAATAACATGTATTCAGTACATTCCTTTATTGTAATTAATCACTTGTTTGATATATAAAAAGGATTCATAACACTAGTATAAATTAAAGTTATTTTAAAATTTATCACCAATGAATGTATACAAGGTATAACAGAAACTATGGACCTTTTCAGATCACCTGAGCAGCCCGTGAACAAAGTTCTGCAAAATGGCTAATTCACAAATTACACTGTTTTTAATACTGAGTCCCACAACAATACAAGTTCTTTCACTTAGTTCTGAAGCTAGTATTCCTCCTTCTACCAACGAACACCCGTGTTTTGGGAAAATAGTTTTCTTTGTAAATATTCCACTAATTCCAGTCTTGACTTTAGCATCTCAAGCTCATGATAGGGGATCTGTAAAGAGGAAAACACAGTGGTCACAGTCCTTCACAATCTCACGACTTCGGTGTTCTGCTTGTCCCTCACCCCCTCCTCCAGAGCAGACGACAAGGTCCCAAGGGCGAAGATTACAACTGGTTTACTTGTTCTATACTCCAGTGCCTCGCACACGGAGGGCTCGTCGTGGGATAGCCCAGTGAGAATCAAATGTGGTCGCTTGTCCTCTGGAGCTCACACATGAAGTGGTGAGCTGAAATATGCGACTACAGAAAGCAGGCAGCGGGTCGGTGACCGAGCACTGAGGGGGCGTCTGGAATGTGCGACTACAGAAAGCAGGCAGCGGGTCGATGACCGAGCACTGAGGGGGCGTCCAGGCTTCACTAAAGGGTGGGAGGAGAACCCAAGCTGGGGTGGTAAGCGGCCCAAACATAGATGCTCAGGTAGTGCACAGCCTGGTGGTGGAGGCAGCATGGGCAGAGGGCGGGGGACAGGCGAGAGTGGGGAAGGGAGACTGGGAGACCTCGCAGCAGTCGGGAGTAGGAGTTCGGAGGGCAAGCTGGGAGTCTGGATGGCTTAGCCTGAGACCGACGGGGAGGTCCTGAATGCTGTGATGTAGAGACACTCATGAGTAGTGGAGAAACGAAGAAGGTTTCTGAGTACACACTGGTACGATCAATTTTAACAATCTCGGGGTGTGTAAGATGGAGTGAAAAGCAGGCACTGGATAGAAGCCAGGGAGCAGACCAGCAGTGAGCACTCAGAGAACGAAGGACACGCCCATTTACGTTCCATCCTCAGCCCTCCTGTCAGACCGGAGCACACAGCCCACGATGGAAGTGCAAACCAGGTGATGTGCATTGTGTTGATGGAGATCCCAGTTCTGATGGACCACCGTGTCCATTTTTATTTATTTAATCAAGGGGAGATTAAGACAAAACATGTATTTCTATAATTTAGTAATTTCTAAAGGCAGAGTTAAGCATAGCTTATAGAGAATATAGTACCCCTCACTTTTGGAAAACCAAAACTTTGAAAATTCCCTATTTCAAAATATAAGTCAAGAGGTTTAAGCCTAATTAACAAAGCTCATATTTCAATTAGGCCTAAGATTCTTAGTCCTATGGGCTGGGAGGTCATTTATTATGTTAGAGTAAATTAAAAGGAGAATGGCTGAAAACCCCCCGAGCAGATCAAGACAGTTAGAGCTCGAAAATAACCTAAACCTTGCTCAAATTGCAAATGTGAGCAAAACTTAACTTGGGCTATTTCTCATAAATGTTTGTAGTATAGAAAAACAGAATGCAGGCTTAACTAATCAGAGCATCCTACAAAGTTACAATTTTATAACAGGGGACTCTGCAACAAGACAAACCAAATAAATCAACTGAGTAACTGTAACCTATGAAGTAACTTTTTTGCTTCCATTGTGGTCATCCTATAGAAGGTTCCCTGTGCAGTCCCTTGGGTAAGGGTCCCAAACCACTTCCGGTAGGGTGAGTAAGCCCAAACCACTCAGTTTGGCAGGGCCCAATTCATGAATCACCATTTGTTTAAACTCTAAAGTTTTAATGTGGCTCAGTTTGCTTTTTAATAGTATCTTGGAGAAAGAAAATAGGAATGAGAAATTGCTTTTGGGGAAAAAATATAGGAGAGACCATACCTGAACAACTTGATAACCAAGCAACTGTAGGTGTCTTTGTTTGATGGCTTCTTTTCCTAGTAAGTGTTCACTATTAAGGCAAAATCTTTTTGGACCATCGATGCACAGTGCTATCCTGAAAAATGAAACACGGGAGAAAAACGTAACTTTTAAACAATCCCAATTATTTATATATTTTCAGTTGCAAAGGTTTACTTAGAATTTGGCTATTTCTATGTGCCAGTGCTATTTTCAAATAAAGCATGAATAGACTATTCTTTAATCTGTTGAAAAAGCATTCAGTTTCATTAATATTGTTTATAACATATTATAAAAAATTTCCAGAAATGAGATGCTAAAAATAGCATCTTAATTTCCAGAACCATGTCTATTTTTTTTTAAGGTTCTTGCCATAGGGTGCTTGCACTGGAGGGAAAGA